ATTTCTCCTGTACTGCAGAGAACCTAACGCTGAAGAGAAGTTTAAGGAGATTAGTAATGCTTATGAGGTGAAGTATCTGATCCCTTACCCTACCCTACCCTACTCCACCCCACCCCTTCTCTACACTAATTTAGTTGACTATTCTTGGCTCATCATGCAAGCCAGTGGAAACTATTATTTAGGATTTGGTCAAAAATATATACTTGTTCAACAGGTTTTGTCAGATGACGAGAAACGCTCCATATATGATAGGTATGGGGAAGCTGGGCTCAAAGGTGCTGGCATGGGCACGGGGGTGAGTCTTTCTGATACAATAGAAGAGTGAACCAACAAGAAAAAGAACATAAAGAAAAATTCGCTCCTTTTACTAGTTTCTCCTACATATAAATGTTTTTACATCTTATGCTTTTCCATGGCAGGATTTTAGCAATCCCTTTGATATATTCGAGTCATTATTTGATGGCCTCGGCGGTATGGGTGGTATGGGCATGGGAGGAAGAAGCTCTCGTAACCGAGCCACAGAAGGTGAAGACCAGGTCTACAATCTGGTTTTGAATTTCAAAGAAGCTGTATTTGGGGTTGAGAAGGAGATTGAGATAACTCGCCTGGAGAGCTGCAACACTTGTGATGGATCAGGAGTGAAATCGGGGACAAAGCCAACTACATGTGGCACTTGTGGCGGTCAAGGGCAAGTTGTCTCGTCAGCAAGGACACCACTTGGAGTCTTCCAACAGGTAATGACGTGTTCTTCTTGCGGTGGGACTGGAGAAATTTCTACTCCTTGCAACACATGCAACGGTGATGGCCGAGTAAGGAAGTCAAAGCGGATTAGCTTGAAAGTTCCTGCTGGGGTCGACTCTGGTAGTCGTTTGAGGGTCAGGTCTGAGGGAAATGCCGGACGGAGAGGGGGCCCTCCCGGGGATCTTTTCGTGACCATAGAAGTTCTTGCTGATCCTGTTTTGAAACGGGATGACACCAACATACTTTATATTTGCAAGGTTTCATATATAGATGCTATTTTAGGAACAGCATTGAAGGTGCCAACGGTTGATGGGATGGTCGACCTCAAGATTCCACCGGGTACCCAACCTAATACAACGCTAGTTATGGCGAAAAAAGGCGTTCCCCTTTTGAACAAAAGAAATATGAGGGGAGACCAGTTGGTGAAAGTGCAAGTTGAGATTCCAAAGCGCCTAAGCACTGAGGAGAGGAAACTCATAGAAGAGATTGCCAACTTAAACAAGGCAAAAACAGCTAACAGTAGCAGATAGTAGAAGCCGACTGGCTATCTCCTTTTTTTCTTTAACCCTCTATGCGTTTGATGGTTGATGCAGTGTTGCTTACAAATGTAGTAGGCAAAATTTTCGATGACAATCAATTTATATGCGACTGAATTTAGGGTTAGGAAATTTTGTGGGTTGATATTTGTATTTTTTTCCCACAAAGTAAAGAAGAAAGATATTAGGGCATACCTTTCTGTTTCTATAACTACCTTCTTGACTATAATTATTCAGAATTAGTTGGAAAGTTCTGTTTGGTTGATACCATCTTAATATAAATTCTTCGAGACAATGTTGATGAATGGTCTATGCTTGGATTTGGTAAGATGTAGTCATTTAGAGATGTGATCATCAGTGTATAAATTCGGAGGATGTTCTCAATAACAAAGAGAATTTTCCCTCTCATTTTCAATAACATATTTGGGTTTAACCTAAATTTGTGAAATAAAAGAAGAATAAAATTTTTGTTTGGCAAGAAAAAAGAAATATTGTGATAGAAAGAGAAATTAAAGTGAGAGAAGCTAGAAGAAACGGTACATGCAGTTGTGCAGCATAAGTTGATCATTCTAGTTTTGTGTAGAAAAAGTTGATAGAATGGGAAAGTATGTATTGTTCCCTTAAATAATAAAGTCTGTCTTCTTCTATAGACATCAACAGTTTGTAGGACCACATTAATTTCTTATTTTTCTCTTTTTGACTCACTTAAAATTTTTTTTGTTGCCGCTGTAATTACTATGACCGTCAAATCGTGTCCTAACCAAGGGCGGACCAGGATTATGATTCAGGGGGGACGAGACATAATTATGTAAAAAATAATTTCAAATTTGATAATAAAGATAATATTCAAAATGTAATATTTTTTTTACAATTGTTCCTTACGGTTACTTCCTTTGCCTCAACACTTGCTTCCTTTGCCTCAACATTTTTTTCAATAAAAATTTGAGATATTCGTTTAAAATATCTCAGCATATCTTTCTACAAATCAAAAAAAGCTTACATAAATATATCAACAATGAAATGGCAAAGTTTCTTTCAAGTCATAGATTTAACCAACTTTCATTAGTTTAATATGACACAATTTGATTTTATTGCTAATTGCTGGAGTACACCTAGTGCTAGTTCTTGCAGTGCTGGAGGACACATAGTGCTAGTTCTTGCTAATTGCTGGAGGACACTTAGTGCTAGTTCTTGCAGTGCTTGTTTACAGAATGCATCAGCCTCTATATTGGGATGCTTGCCATGGTCCGAGGGTCGGACGCTGAATACGGGGTGCTTTGTTAGGTACTCTGACATCAACTTTCTTAATCCTATGCCGGGAAATGGAATTCCAAGAGGTAGAAAGATCTTAATGGTCTTCTCCCTAGCATTTCTGTTGTAAAATTTCAATTTTGTATCAATCTATTCAGATTTTCGACTAACTTCGGCAGGGACAATAACAGTAGTTATAGTAGCAGCGGTTAGTTCAGTAGGTGTTTTGGTTATTGGAGGTCCAGATTACCAGTGCAGTTCCTAAATTAATCTATAGTTTCTTTGCTTTTCACCAAATTAATCTATAGTTTCTAGTATTTCTTATTAGCTATATACCATCAGCATTCAGCAAAGATTTAAATAAAAAGAGAAACAAAAGTTCAAATCATCTCATAGTTAGAATTGCACAGCCAGCTCACACAAGGAAAGGACGTCAGCATTGTTGCATTTCCTTATTTTCAGGAATTGCAACAATTCTGTTATTCAGCTGGAAGAATTTGTTTTGTTTGTTTCCCTTTATTTCTAGAATATTCTTAGCTACTATACTTCTTGTATATAACACGGTTGTATTGGAATGAAAAATTGTAGTTTTGAGCTTCATTCATATCTGTATTTTAATTTGGTATCAGAGCCAACATGGCTAACACCACCTCTAGTAATCAATCTGAGTTCAATACAGCGTCAGCGACTCAGCTACTTGCAAACCAGAATTTAACCTTTGGGATGAACATCACTCAATCACCTTCGGTTAAGCTTGATAGAAACAACTTCCTTTTGTGGAAAAATATGATTATGC